ATACCAGCAAGGTAAACAACAATTTATTACATTCTCATGGTTCCATGGGTTGATGGGGCTCACCTGAGTCATCCTCATTTAGGGTTTCTCATGGGGTCACACAGTTGGGGCTCAAGGCATCTGAAGGCTTGACTGTGCTGGACACCCAAGATAGCTCACTCATATGGCTAGCAGTTGATGCTGGCTGTTTCCAGGGGCTCAGCAAAGGTTCATTCAGACCAAATATATGTGGCCTTTCTATGTGGCTTGGGCTCTTTTCACCATGGTGACTGACTTCTGGAGGATTAGTGTTCTAGAGACCCAGGTGGAAGCTGTAAGACTTCTTATGATCTAGACTTAGAAATCACTTAACACCATTTCCACCCTATTCTTTTGGTCAAAAATAAGTCATGGCCAACGTAGATTCAAGAAGGATGATAAAGAATGATGTAAATATTGGAAGCATGGTTTACTGGCAGAGGAGAGGGCATCCTGGAAAACTAGCTGCCATACAACTTATGTACATATGTGCACAAGAGTTTAAAAGTTAATTTAAAAATTATCTGCACAGAGGCAAAAGTTTTATTACCCTGCAACAGAGACTACAGTGCCTTGAAATTGTAATTCATTTTTTTCAATATGTTAGAACACTTTTTAATACACCTCTGCTTGATGAGACAAATTATAAATAAATGGCATGACATCTAAGTGGCCAAGTAGAGAGGTGAAATATGGCAACTATAAGTTGAGCAAGCAGAAGAAATTCTTGAAGCAATAAAAACATAAGAAGACATTTTTCAAGTGATAGGCATCATTATGGGTTTTTGGGAAACCATGATAACCACTTCAGTATGTAATTAGGAGCAGGGTGGCTTGTGAGCAAAAAAGCAGAGGAGATAATGAGAGGCAGCCTTTGTAGTTGAAAACTAGTTATTCTTGCTTTTTTCTTGTTGTTTTGAGTCACAGGGACTTTTGAGTATATGAGAAAACTTAGAAAATTTCCTCTCAAAATGGGTATTTGTATACTTTTGTTTCTTCCTGAATTCTTTCCTCCCTATCTTTCTTTTTCCTTCTCCTCCTTCATTTCTTATATGATTACTTATAGAGAGCTGACTCAGTATCAGATACCTATCTGGACTAAGGGATAGACTATGGAAAAAGACAGATAATTTCCCAATCTCACGGCATGTACATTCTTAAGATAAGGAAACAGGAAAAAAAAAACACAAAACGGTACATCATTAAAAAAATTTTTAAAAAGACACATCAACACATTAAACAAGAGAACCTCAGATAGTTATAAGTAACAAACTGCATACATAACATCTTGTATACAATTTTATGGGGTTCACAGTCTTTCCATGGACTTGTCTTCCTTGCTCTGCAATCAATAACTTCTCTTTTAAACCAAAGGATAACTTTTTAATGTGAATAGTGTGGACATGGCTGTTGGTTCTTCAGTGCTTTTTCACTTACACTGATCACACAGTTGTTGACTGTCTTAAAATTTTTTTTCCAACCATGAAGAGCAACTATGGTAGGGTCAGTGGAGCTGACTTCCTTAACTGATGGCGGAACATTGGTTCCTTATGGAATTTCAGAAAGTTCTGCTGCTTGTGAGGTTGAAAATTTGTCCTGCAAGACTTTCCGCAGCTTTATTTAAAAAAATAATCCCTCCCTTTGGAAACTATCTGCTTACCTCTTTAAAAAAAAATGAAATGGATCAGATGGCCATGGGTTCATATTTCAAAGTCTCAGTTTACAGGAGACTCTAAGGACCTACAATTTCATCCATATTCTGAAGATGAGAGTGAAGGATGGAAGGTTTGGTTTGGAGAATTTTTTTCTCTATGTCCTCTGTTTTTAAGTTCTCACCACAAATTGTACCTCTGACCTTAGTTATTATGGCATCCTGTGGGGGATTCAAACATATACTTTCATTTTGGGAAACATTTTAAGTTATTTTCATTAGCATAACATATAACTTTTGCAAAAGTGAAATGCAAATATTCATCTATCATATTCCATTAGTTATAGTTTTAAACCTTTGGTATTTGTGAAATATTTTTTAAAAGATTTTATTTATTTTATTTTTAGACAGAAGGTAAGGGAGAGAGAGAAGGAGAAAAATGTCAATGAGTGGTTGCCTCTTGCAGGCCCCCAACTGGGGACCTGGGCTTCAACCCAGGTATGTGCTCTGACTGGGAATCAAACCCTTTGAGTGCCGGCCTGTGAACCAAAGGGTCACAGGCTGGAACTCAATCCACTGAACCACACCAGCCAGAGCCGAAATATTTTAATTGCTAACACAAACTGTTACTCTATACATCTTTTCACTTTTGGTGCTTTATTGATATTAAGCTTTTACCCTTTCTTCAATTAAAGGGTATTTTAATATCTGGCACTTCATATTGGAGTGAATACAGTCATAGAGTAAATATAATTAAATATAATTATTTAGGGATTGGTAACAATGGCCCTGTGGGTCAAAACCACCTATTTCTATAGGTATATTTTTAGTGGAACATATCCACACTCATTCTTTTCTATATTTTTTATGGCTGTTCTCATGTTTACTATCTTTCTCCTTTAAGAAAAAAATTTGCTCATTCTGATTTAGAGGAAAGTTCCTCTAAATCAGAGGAAATTTCTTTTATTTCCTTTAAAATCATTGATATAAATTTTAAATGTGTTAAATGCCATAGATAAAGGAAATTGCATGCCCACCACATGTCAAGTACTACCCTGAAGATATCTTAGCAAACAAGAAAGATAAAAATCTGTGTTTATACTTTAACAATACCTCTAAGATGCTTAATAATAAAAATTAAAGCAAGCCCCAGAAGTTATACCTAAGAACAAATCAAGTTTTGTATTTAGGTGACATGACTCACTGATGATATTTTGACTTGAGGAAAAATGTGGGGATTTCTGAACTTTAATAACATTATAGCATCAGAATGCTATTATTGAAGTATAAAATTGAATCAGTGATGCTTATAATGAAGTTCAAAATAAAGTTTTAAAAAATTACCCATATAATTTATGAGAAAACATGTCTGAAATTTCTACTTCATTTTGCCAAATCCAGAGTTGTTCATCCAAATTCCCATGAACTCATTAACTAGAGACTTGGGGTTCTTGTTTATGGTGTTTGCAGTGATGTCCCTTGAGTAACATCTCTTGCATGTCTCTGTGGTTCCCAAGGTCTCCTTAAATGATGAAAGTTGACCCAAAACATGGAATTTATTAATTTATTTATTTAAAGATTTTATTTATTTTTAGAGAGAGGGGAAGAGATGGAGATACATCATCAGAGAGAGGGAGAGAAACATCAATGTGAGAAACACTGATCAGTTGCCTCTCATATGGACAATCCACTTGCCACTCCGGTGCCCCTGACTGAGATGGAACCCATCCATAATCCAGGCATGTGCTCTGACTGGGAATTGAACTGGTGACCTTTCATTTTGCAGGATGACACAACAACTGAGCCACACCGATCAGGGCAAAACATGGTATTTAATTCAATAATCATTTATTGAAGGCCTATTATGTGCAAAGAAATCTATTAGTCCAGTGGGACTACAAAACTGAGTGAGTCAGGTGTGTCTGCCTTTCAGACATTCAGGATGTCCCAGTCTGGGTGACAGCTAATCAGAGAGTTCCATAACTTTTGGAGGTGTGTTTGGATGTTGAAAAAAGTTTCCTGTGTCCTCCCCACTCCTGAGTTATTTTTATCCCAATTCATATATCAAACAATTTATGCTATTTTTTTGGATCAGCATCATAAAAATAAACACTGGTCTTCACAAATCTGGTTTAAATGAGTGAAACAAAGACCCAAAGGGAAGTATAAATTTATATTTTCTTAAAAGTGTACAAATAGATCATACTTGTGAGCTAGAAGGAGCCTTAGAAACTAAAACCTAATTTTACAGACAGTTCTTAAAGTTTGCATCTTTAATATGTGACCCTCCTTGCATCCCTCCTCTCCTGTGTTGCACACAGGACCCAGTTTCTTAGTGTCAGTTTTCACCAGCTGGAAAAGCCAGATAATGACAACCACACAGAGTTGCCAGGTTTAGTAATTCTAGTTCCTGGAATCAAGGACAGGAAGGCTTTTAGTTATTTGCACACCCTAACTTTTCTAACTTCTATTGAATAAATCATTTAACTGTCAGCTAAATACAGTGTTGGAAAGTTTACATCATTCGTCTTTTTATGGCACCTCTTAATGGAAGACTCTGGAGATTAAAACTCTTGACAATTTTCATGAAATTAAAACGCTGACCTAGAGAAAGATGGGACAAAAGATGAACATTTGAGAAGTTTTAAGTAGCAATGGGATCTTACACAGTAGCCTATTTAAAGTAGTGCTGATTTGAACACTTAAAGTTCCTGAAAAATGACAGAACTATGAATTTTGTCAAAAGCAATGTCGTTTTATTAAACGAATGACTATCTGGTCTAACGACCAAGCATTTGCTTGTTTCAAGTACTCTCCCTAAGAGGCAGGTACCATTGTGCCACTTTAAGGTGAAGAAACTGAGGCACAGAGACTGTTGAAGGTGTGACACGTGCTAAATCGTTGAAGCAGAGATGAAACCCGAGGCAATCTGGTTGCAGCGACCAGGCTTTTGGTTACTACTCCTTTGACCTCACACCTGGTCCCAGCCATCCCTTGACCTGTCCATTGGACATCAGCTTGTCTGTCCTGTTCCTGCAGCGCTTCCGAAGTCTCCACAGCGTCCCAGGCCCCTTCCCTCCCTCCCTCAGCGTCCAGGGGTCAGAGCCTCAGAGTCCCGGCTTCTAGAGGAGGATGCGGTGAACCTGGACGCGCGCCCCCGGGGGCGGCGGGAACGCGGAGCGGCGTGCCGCGGGGAAGGGGCGCCTGGGCCGCGCCAAGATGGCGGCGGCCACGGCCACTGTGGTGACGGTTGGCGGCGGCCCGTGAGGCGGGCGGGGCTGGCGGCGCGGAGGCGGGGTCCCGGGCTAGCCGTCCTGGAGGCGGGGGCAGTTTCCATAGCGGCGGCAGGAGGTGTCGCGCCGGGGAACTTCCTGGTTCCCGGGCTCGGCTACGCCGGGATCCTCTTGGAAGGGAAACAATGGGGCGGAGGGCACTGCGGTAGCTGCCGCCGCGCCGGGACCTGCTCGGCCAACGGGACTCCCCGCTCTGCCCCCTTCATTGCCTCCGCTTGGACCGTCCGGAGGTAACTTAATTTCCTCCTCTCCCACCGCTAGTAGCCGGTCGCCCGCGGCGTCTCCCCGTCTCCTCAGGGGCTGGGACTCCGACTTGGTCCCGGGGAGCTGGACGCCGCCATTCCCGGACCTGGGGGAGGTGGACGGAGCTGCGGGTGTTCTCCTAGCTCTCGCGGGGGGCAGGCTTCGGAACCGTGTGTGGGGACGTCCTTGCCGTCCCTCTGGAACCTTGATTGTGGGGTTCTGAGGGTGTGATTGACATGTTGGCGGGCGCCGGGTGGGGAGCGCCGGGGCGCAGGGGGCGTGCGGGGCGGGTGTGCCGGGGACTGCGCTGGACGACCTGGTGGCCAGTGAAGGGGGCTCCTGGAAGGGGCGGGGTCGGGGAGACCGCTGCCCCTTCCCCCCAGAACAAGTTTCAGCCCCGCGGGAGACGTGTCTCCCTGCAAGTTTCACTTGCGTCTTTCAGAGTCCAAGTGGGCAAGACTGAGGCAAACTTCATGCTTTTAAATTAGTGCCTTCATGCTGAGGAACTTTGTTTCGACTAGGCGAGAGGAGGATGTGGTGCATGAGGGATTCGGAGAGCCTGGAAATCTGTGCGTCTTTGCAAAGTTTGAGAGATAGTTTGGAGCTAACAGCCTTGTGACGGTGTGGCGTATCCATTGCGTGAGAATGGTTACTCGCAGGTGTTTTAATTTCAGAAAATGTGAGGAGTCTATGAATCCACTGGTGGACATTTCTGTAAATTGAAGATTGAACTCTCCCTGCCTCCCCTCCCATTTTAATCCACAGATGCTTTGTAGTCAGTAGACTTTAGCAGGAGTTAAATGAGACCTTTCTGGGGCTGGGAAAGATTTTTGAATTGGCAATACCTAGTCATTGGAAATAATGTGACACAAATGGAAAGGAAAAGTGGGGACACGGTCTTGAATATTTCACTTGCCGGAACAAAGTGATTTCAATCCTATAATCCATTAATAAAGAAAATTAAGTCTTTGGGATAGGTGTTTAATATTTTGTAGCTCAGAAAATTTCGACAGAACTTTAAAGATCACCTCAGTCAACTCCCTCATATTTTGAATCTCTGGGAAATTCTGTTAGAGGGAAATCAGGGTGGTTTATTTTTTTCCCCCAAAGTCACCGTAATAAGAATTAAAATTAGCCAGCATCAAATGAACAGTTGTCTATTTGCTTTTATTTTCACTCCTTCAAACCCTAAAATTGAGAAAAATATTTCTAAGTTTGCTGTTCTTTTATAATAAAGTTTGCAGACATAGTCTAATTTATTACTTAAAATGGATATTAATCCTATGTTGTATTCTACATAGGCAATTGAAATATGTCAAAATAAAAAATTATACTAATAAAAGTAGAAGTTAACTTTTAAAGGAAAACCATAGTTTTAATTTCAAGTACAGGTATCCTGAATTAACAAAAATTCCTTTGATGATTATGTATTTAAAGAATGGAGTTGTCACAAAGGCATTCAAAGAAACATCATGTACCAAACGTTAAGTCTTGGTGTTGGTACCTACTTACTGTTTTTAGCTAAACTGTCAGTGACTCTTGTACTTCCTTTGGCAAGAATAGCCCATTACCAGTTTGAACAGTGTTTTGACATGAAGTTGCTCCTAGTAAGGACAGCTGCCATTGGTTAAACAAGCCAGTAAGTAGAAGTGACAGCTTTGGCACCATCTGCTAATGGGCTGGCCATCCTTAGCATTATTGGGAACCAAGACAACTTCCTGGCTTGCAGATCCGGAGTGGGCTGGGCCTCCAGTGCTGAGAGGGGTTGTGTTGGTCTGTCTTTGCCACAATGTGCTCATCTATCTCAAGATACTGTTACATTTTGTAGCGGGTGAAAAAGAGGCCAATAAATTCAAGTTAGTGGCAAATTAAAAAAAAATTGGTTACAGAGCACTAGGAGTGAAATGACAGTTTTAAGCCGTAAAAGACTTAGCAGCAATACTAAAACTTTGGGAATTGCTACTTCAGGTAGACAGAGACACATGATTACATTTTGTGGTTTATGTTTGCAAATTCACTTTAACCATTTTTGTTGTAGTTCAGTGTGATTTTTGGAAGGCATATTGCATTCTTAGATGTGATTTACTTACATATAGACATTCATAATTTTCTCTTTTAAAAAGTATCTCAATTTTTACAGAGGAAGTCAATACAAAGATAATATTAATTTGAAAGTATTCTGCCTTCTGGCACACTTCATTGTAGTATGTGGGAGTAGAGCAGGGGAATTAGTCACAAACACTTGGATTCTCAATGGATCTGAGCCATTTCCAGGCTATATCACTTCATGTAAATAACTTATATTTTAAGGCTTGTTATTATTATTAATAGTAGTAGTAAAGTTAGGGGGATCATAAATTCAAGTTTGTTTTTTCAAGAGATATTTCTTGAATGCCTTTTGTGTATCCCAAGACCTTGCATTTGGTACCTCATTTTCAGCAACAGGATGCTTAAGTCTTTTAAAGTACAGGGAACTCTGAAACCTATAACTAGGGAACCTAACTTGATTTGGAGGTGGCAGGGCAAGCTTTCCTGAGGAAGTGACTTGTGGGACCTGAAGGAGAAGGAGGAGGTGGTAGGCAAAAATGGGAGGTGGCTGGGTGGGAACCTTTGAGGATGAGAGAAGAGTGTGTACACAGTTCCTGAAGAGACTGTTGAGAAGGTTAGATAAGAATATGTGTTTATTAGTGCCCTACCTGGCACTGAAGCAACCACTGTTAGTTGTATAGAAGAGGCTCTTGGCACCATACTCTAATCATCTTGTTCCATAGCCAGTATAGAAAGGCAATCAATCTAGGTGACTCTCACTGCACTAAACCTGGAAATGACTGTGTACTGTGGTGTCTACTGTTATAACTCTGGCACCATTACTTGTTAGTTTCTATATCTGTAAAACTGGGATTGAATGTTAAATAAAAGATTCTTTGATTGCTTTACAGAGATAACTATCATTTGATATCAATATAGTATTATACAAGGGGGAACCCCCCCCAAAAGCAGGAATTGTCTTCTGGAGGGTGGGTCCCTCATAGTACAGGCTTCCCCCACTAGGTGAGTGTTCTAGGAACCCATCTGTACACTAGGTGAGTGTACTAGCTGGTGTTGTGAGAGGCTGCATTCGGTTTCAGTGAATGTTTTTGAAGACCTTTACGTGTTTGCTTATTTCATGATAAGTGATTTATGAGCTTACCTGCTCACACTGCACTGAGTGTTTAGCAGTTTTTGACCAAAAAAAAAAAAACACACCAAAAAAAAAGGCACGAGCCCCATCCCCTACCCTCCTTATTTACCCAGTCTTGCCCTGAGCAACTTTTTTTGTTTCCCTGGATGAAAACAATCCTCAAAGGGAAAAGTTTTGCTGATGTGGAAGAGATCAAACAAAAAAAAGCAGAAGCACTAAAAGGTATCAAAATCAATGAGTTCAAAAACTGTTTTGAGCAGTGGGAAAAAAATCTCAATAGATGTATTATATCAAATTGAGAGTGCTTGGAAGGTGACTGAAGTATAAACATGTAAGAATAAATACACAATTTTTTATAAATAAATTCCAATTTTGGGGAGTCTCCCCTCATATACTGATATCAGTATAATATTCTGATTTAACCATGATGGCATTTTTCCTTAGAAGAACTTAGACTACCTTATTTAAAATATCTACTCACAAAATAGCAGTACCAATCTAGGCTAAAATAAAAAAAATATTTAGTAAATGGCAGGTAGTTTCATTTGCTTCTAGGAAGATTGGGAGTGATTGGAGTTTCATGTCTTTTGCTTAAGTGTTTTTGGCCCTAGAGACGTTAATTATTCTCTGACAGAGGTACACATTGCACCTGTGTGTTGCTGACATTGATACGTGTAGAAAAAGTTACAATTTTATTCTGTAATTTTTCTTTCACTGAATTAGCAACTGAATTAAAAATGTTACAGTAATATTTTTCATGAAATAAGTGAAAGGAGATCATTTTAAGTTTCTTAATGTATGAATTTCAGTTAGTAATATTATATAGATCACTAAAGGCAAATTAATATTTTATTATGGAATTAATGTAGTATTTATAAGCCAGTTAACTGTCTGGACTTTTTGCTCCTGTCTCTTTTTGTTTATTTTTTTTGTACATTTTAATGTTCATTAGCCTGTCTGTGGTAAGATAAGAAAAGATAAAGTGAAATAAGATTTTGAAAAGTTAGTCCCAGTGGAAAAAAATTGAATAGATGAGGAGATTGAAATTTATAAAGGTTAGGTATATGTGTTGGGCTAGATATTTCTGTGCATTTTGTCAATACTTCTTATAAAAATTAATGAAGTGGCATAATGACTATTCACATTAGTGTTTAAAATTTAAAAAATCTATTTGTGGGGGATGGGTAGCACAGGGGAGAGTAATGGGGGAAAATTGGGACAGATATAATTGAACAACAATAAAAAGTGAATAAATAAAGAATCTATTTGTCTAACCAGTTATATGTACTTGCTCCCCTCTTCCCTTTTTCTAGCTTTGTTTTGGGTTGGTTTAAAAAATATAATTATTCTCTTTCCTTTTCTTTATTAGCATGGGATTCTATATTCTTTTACTATTCCTTTAGTGCTTGCCTAAGGAATTCTAATATGTATTTTTGACTTATCAAAGTGCAATATTACTTGAAACTTTCACCCTTTTTCCAGGTAATACAAGGCCTTTAAAAACATTAAAGCCACTTTTCTTTCATTACCTATTCATTGTTACCATGTTTTCAAGTGCATATATAAATATATATTTAACTACAAAGATGTTTTTCTGTTGTTTTATGCTGTTATTATTCAATTAGACTTACTGTATTTTCTGTTTTTTATTCCTTCTGGCATTACTGACCTTTCATATGTAATAATTTTTTTCTGCCTGAAGAATACCCTTAGTATTTTTTAAAAATATATTTTATTGAGCCCTGGCTGGCGTAGCTCAGTGGATTGAGCGCGGGCTGCGAACCAAAGTGTCGCAGGTTCAATTCC